GGATGTGGACCCTGAGCCTTAGTTTGTTGTTGTTAAGTGCCTTCAGAGTCGGTACCGACTTTTAACAACCCTGTGGAGGATTTCCGGGAGTCCTGGTATGGCGCTATAGGATAAGCACTGGACCACAAGGTTGGTTTGAACCGCGAGGTGGACGATTCAGGCTCACCAGCCGCTCCTTGGAAATCATATACGGAGTCGCTATGACTGTGTGGTGTTTAACAACAACAAATAGGATTTCTGAGGTTGTAAATCTCTGCGGGAGCAGGAAGCCTTATAGGTCTCCCGTGGAGCTGTTGGTGGGCTCGAACCGCCTGTCAGTCCAGTGTTTGTCATACAGAGTCACCACGTTCCTTACTTTATTCATTTGGAAAGCGGGGTGCTAACCAACTGGGCCTCACTGTGGTTCTAACACGCTACCATGATTCCCCTTTACTCGGTTATCCTGAGGGCAGCCGAAGAGAACATTAAAAGTTGAGTCAGATCTACATCCTATTGGTTCTCAGTGCCCTCAATTGATTCTCATCTCAGAATAAGACTAAGGTTTTCCCTGTAAGGCACCTAAATGCCCCTACAGCATTTGCCTTTCAGCTTTTTTCACCTAACCTCCTGGTACTTTCCGCCCCATTTCCCCACCCCCTACACACACACACACACACACACTCTGTTCCAACCACAGGGACCTCCTCCTTATCCCTCAATCACTCCACTTGAGCTAGAATCTTAGGGGCTGTTCCCAATACCTGTGCTCTCGCCTCACCTCCTTCAGGTCTTGAATCAAATATCACCTTTCCAGTGACATCTGGCCATCCCGTCTGAATAGCAGCATCTCCCTCATCACCCATTACTTACTTTTCTCCACAACACTGATTGCTTATTCATCGTGTTTCTTTCCATCTCCCCATTCTAGGACGTTTCACTAGAGCGGGGATTTTATTCACATGCTAGGGAACACAGTAGGAACGCAATAAAACTGAGCCATGATTGCCATCCTAAGTGTGTATCGAGCCCCTAGCACACATTTTGCACCCTCATCCTGTAAAGTCTGGAGGTTGAGGTATGGTGGTGTTGGAGGGACAGCAAGGAATGGTGTGGCTGTAGCATGGATTGGGGTAAAGGATATTTGAGAAATGAATTCAGAGAGGTGGGTTGGGGGCAGGTGCATGCTTGGCATTATAAGGTCTGGAGTTCATTTTTCTGAGTGCCCACCTGTGTCAAGCACTGGGCTAGGCAACAGGGGAAACAGCTAGGAGAAGAATGATACCCATCTCTCTCAGTTTCTAGGCAAGCAGGAGGCAACAGGTAAATAGGTAAATTCCAAATTGGATAGGTGTTGCGAAAAAGAAAAGCAAACAGGATAATGTGATGGAGTGAGGGGTTGCAAGTGGCCATGTTGAGATAGGAATGGCAGGGAAAATCTGAGAAAAGGACATTTGTCTTGGTGACGATCTGGGGGAAAGGTCTTATGGACAAGGTTATCAGCAAGTTCAAAGACCCTGCCTGAGATGGGACTGAGCCTGGGAGTTGTAAGAATGGCATGGCAGAGGCAGAGGCATCTGACATCATCTAACTTTTAGACTGGGGAGACTGACTCGAGCTCAACAGCCCGAGGGTGATTCCTATGAGGTGGAGGTCACACATGCCTCCTCTCTACAAACTTTTTGCCAGTTCTGATACCAGCTTTTGTTCCCACAGTACCAACTTACTTCTCTGCTGTTAATAATTTGTCACAATGGTGCACAGAACTCATAGACAAGACTCAGCTACCATATTTATTAAGGAAGTAACAGGTTACAAAAACAACTCAGGATATAATTCTTTGATCAGGACAACAACGTCTAAGTTGTGCCTAGAGGCAGACCTCTCCTTCCCTGGCTCTTAGCCCCTTGGCCCAGTCTCTGTCCTGCCTGGGCAATTGTTACAAAGCTCCTTGTTGTTGTTAAGTGCCTTCGAGTCCATAGCGACCCTGTACAGGATTTCTGAGGCTGTAAATCTTTACAGGAGCAGAAAGCCTCATCTTTCTCCCGCGGAGGGGCTGGTAGTTTCAAACTGCTGACCTTAAGGTTCGCAGCCTGATTCGTAACCACTATGCTACCAGTGCTCTTTACAAAGCTCCTTAGTTCTATAGAAAAACACCCAGAGAAACCTTACTTGGCCAACAAGCCTCTCACCTTGGTCTTGTAACTTCCACCAAATAATTAAGTGAGACTATGCAAATAAGGTGCTTGTGGTTCACCAAGAGGATTGGACAACTTACTAATAATGCAAATAAGATGCTTGACACCATGCAAATAAGGTATATGGAACCCTGAGGGGATTTGTCAGTTTTGTCTTCCTGGGCTTAGAGCCAATCCCAGAGCAGAAGGGACTTGACTACCACTAAGAAGAGACAGGAACAGAGCAAGTCATTTGGACCCAGAGGCTCTGCCTGGAGAAACTCCTAGACCCAGGAGACAGAGAACCTAGAGCTGAAGATGGCAAAAGAAGCAGCAGCAGAGGCAGTAGAACCAGGAGACCTGCAGGAGAGAGCTGAGTCCCACTGGATATGGTGGGAGTTACCAGGACATGTGGATGAGCACTTTACTAAACACATCGTCGTCAGTGTTTCAAACCCACGAGCTGCTCCTTGGAAACCCTATGCAGGGTCACTATGAGTCAAAACCAACTCAAGGGTACTTACCAAGGTTACGGCTAGAAAGGTCATATAAAAGCTACCCATCCCACCTTAGGCGCAGAGGCCAGTGTGAACCACCGTGAAATGGACTAGGAATGGTGTCAGGGCTAAGGTTAAGTCAATTCTCCCAGGCTGTAGTGGAGGTGGAAGTGTGATGAAGGGCCACTGGAAGTTTAAAGCAAGATTCAATCAATGCTTCCACATTGTCATCTTCTTGAGGTTCCCTGGCTACCCTCTCTCTGGATGGGCACCCATTCAGAGCTACCATGATTCCCCTTTACTTATAGTGAGAAATATGACAGAGTCAGGAAGCAGATAAATGACCCTCTTTCTCTTCCTGTGATTAATTACACACAGGCACGGTTTCTCTTTGCAGCCGCTCCTGAGAGGTCTCCCATGTGTAGATACTTACTTGCTGTCTCTTCAGAGGTATTTGAGGATATAGCCAGAGTAGTATTATCTCACATAGCATTGTCCCTGCTTTCCCCCACACTCCTGTTGATAAGACTTGTACCTCCCAAATAAAGCATGAAATTCTGCTTCCTAGGTCAACGTAGGTCTCTACCCCTCTAGGCCTCAGCCACAAATTGTGGGCAATAAAAAGGTTGATTCTTTAAACCCACCAAGGCACTCCTCAGAAACCCTATACAGGGTTGTTTTGAGTTGGAACCAATTCAATGGTATTTAGCAGTATGTTCAGCCAAGGAGCCCTGGTGTTGCTGTGGAGCAGGCATTGGGATGTCAACCATAAAGTTACTGGTTCAAATCTACCAGGTGCTCTGAAGAACAATGAGGTTGCCTGTTCCTATAAAGATTATGTTGTTGTTGTTATGTCCCATGGAGTCAGTTCTGACTCACAGCCACCCTGCACAGGGTTTCCGAGGCTGTAAATCTTTACCGGAGCAGAAAGCCTCATCTTTCTCCCGCGGAACGACAGGTAGTTTCGAACTGCTGACCTTGAGGTTGGCAGCTCGATTTGTAATCACTACGCTACCGGAAACCCTGTACAGGGTCGCTATGGATCGGAACCGACTCGAAGGCACTTAATAACAATAACAACAATGCTACCAAAGCTCCTTTATAAAGATTATAGTCTCTGAAATTATAGAGGTTTTGAGTTTTATGTGATCAGTCCAGCTGGTTGGTGAGTCTAAATTTACCAAGAAACAAACAAAATAAATGCAGCAGTTAAAACGCAAGTGTTGGGGTCAGGTTCAATGGAAGTGCTGGCTTCCAGGTTCTCTTTTTTCTTAATACTTGAGTGAAGTGGCCTCTCTGGACCACAGGTTCTTCTTCAGTAAAAGGTGATTACTTCTAATCATTGAGAATTATTAAATGACTTAAAACTTGCATACAGATTCCTGTAGGGTAAGCACTGGACCACAAGGTCAGTTTGAATGGCAAGGTCAGCAGTTCAAATTCATCAGCTGCTCCTCTCCTCAGAAACCCTATACATGGTCACTGCATCAGAACTCAAAGGCACTTAACTTACACACAGTGGCTGGAACAGTCAGTTATCATTTGTTTAATCTTATTTCAGCATGGCAGGGGAGGGGTGCAGGGGTCCAGAGAATTTACCAGGTCCCTTCCAATAGCTGCTGGTGTGACCTATACAGGGTCATGGTGAGTCAGAACTCTATGGCACTTAACAACTTCTAACAGCTCACTGAAGATTTACAAATTTTAGGCAATACCACCACTTCCAAAATTCTTTTATTTTAAAAAACAAAACAAAAACATGACAATCCAAAAAAATAGCCACCACAAAACCGGCCATTTTCTTTTAAATAATGCGGCATGGAGCAGTTTTGGGATCCATCCTATTGCACGTGGTCCGGCCTGTTTTTATGAAATCAGGAGGCTGTTGAGACTGGGGTCCTGCCAAGAAAGTGGGGTTCAGCCTGCAGGGAGAAGTTCAGCCCCTCCCCCTTGCTTGAGGTGCAAAAGAGGCAGAGCCTAGGTTTCCATAGTAACCAGGAGGCACATTCCCATCAGCCTGTGCAGGTCCAGCATCATCCTCCCTGAGCTCCCAGTGATCACAAGGGGGAGGGAAAAGCAGAGAAAAGTAGAGGGGGAAGTCAGATTTCCCCAACAGTCTCATTAAGGCATCTGGAACAGATAAATTAATTCAGGAAGACCCACCTTCACAGAAGGCTGGGGTAACCAGACACACACATGCAACTTGGCCTGTGGAACCCCGAAAAGGAACAGGGGTGGAGGCATGGTCATTGCTTAGAGCACCCCCGCCAAATACACACACAGTTGCATCCAGGGATCCAGCCAACTGAGGCTGAGATGAAAAAGGAGGAACCCCCCCAATTCCAAAGTTTTAGGAGCCTAGAATAATCTCCATGATATGATCTAGTTCATTCCATTCCCAGGACCCTGGGGCACAGAAGAGGTTGTGAGGGGGCTCTGGAGGAGTGACCACAGGCTCCCTCTCTACCGCTGATGTATCAATGTCCAAAAAGAAGTCATCCAAGCCAGTGTCGCCCAGGTACCGGGAACTCAGAGATTCTAGGAAGACTGGATCGGGTTGGGGAAGTGCTTCATCATCCTGGATGCCTGGAGGAACCACTGGGTTCGGAGGGTGTTCGGTCTCATCCATGGAGGTCTCCAATTCTCTGAGGATTGAGCCAATGGTGGTGGACAGGGAGAAGTCCTCTTCACCCAGGAAGAGGGGCTCTGGGGTTAGGGTAGGAGCAGGAGTAAGGTGAAGAGCAGCTTGGAGCTGTTGCAGGGTATTGTGGATGAGCACATGCCTGCGGAGGCTGGGTGCACGGGGGCCCAGGCTGTGCTGGACCTTGTCTAGGGAGATGCGGAGAAGGGCTTGCTGATAGCTTCGAAGGCCCGCAGGGCCCCAGCCCCACTTCTTCTCCTCTTCCTCCTCCTCCAAATCGGAGTGTTTCCTCTTCAAGCCTCCTACCATGATGCTCTGTGGAGAGGAAAGGGAGCAAGTCAGACACAGCAGGGCTAGTTCAAATCTCACTTGCTTGCCTGTCTTACTTGACTGGTAATTAAAAAATTATCAGAGCTTCGAGTCTTCTCAGCTATACATGGAGAAAATTAGGAATCTCACTTACTTTACTTGCCTGTGTGGTCTTGAATAGTGGATTTATTTCCCTGAGACTGGTTTCCATCTGCCACATGAGGAGCCTAACCCAAGTCCCTCCGAGTCTTAAAAAAAACTGCTCTTTTCATGATCCTCATGTCTTCACACAGGTCACACACAAAGACAGGTGTGGAGTACAGAAACCTGGACTGGCGGTAGAGAAGCCTGGGTTTGAATTCTGCTTTTGACACTGCTCAGCTGTGTGATGGAAGTGACATGATGTCACCCCTCTGGGCCTCAGTTTTCCTCATCTGTAAAATGGGGAAATACTTCTCACCACATTGTCATGGAGATAAGACATGTAATATACACAAGGGCCTACCACACAGAAAGTGTTCAAGTGACTCATTTGGTAGTTTACAGAGTGCCTACTACACAAGGAAGTCCAAAAAGTTAGTGGAAAACACGGAACTGAAAGATGATGAATGACACTTCTTCCAGGAACTTTTTTAAATCTCTTCATTTTTGAGCTAACAGGATCCCTGCTGGACACCCATGTGTTGACACTCTTCTTGCAGGGAACACTATTTCTCTCCGTACCCTCTTTCTTAACCGACTAAGTGTGCTCCGAAGAACAGACGAGGTGTCTATTTCGTCTTTTGCTCCCCGCAGAAGCGCTCTCCACAGTAAAACTTGCTGAATTCACGCCAAGACACGCCCCCTTCTGATACACCCAACCAGACAGTGTGCCTCCGTAGAGCCCGCCTTCTCTGGGATTGCTTATGAAGCATTCAAACACGCCCCTCTTAGGTGTATAGGCTTCTGGGGAATGTGGCCAATAGCCCGCACGTTCTGCAATCGAAGTTGAGCCTACAACTACAATCCCCAGAGGACCTTGCTCACTATAGGGACGAAACTCCCCGACCCTCATTCAGGACATGCGCACAAAGGCTTGGAGATGCGGTGGGGGAAGGGAACACGGACGTCCAGCTGCCGGGCGCCTGCCGAGCCCCGCCCTCCGTTGCCTCTCAGGCAGCCAGTCTTGAGTTCCACGCCCGGAACACCCCTCCCCCAACTCGACTCCATCTCTCAAAACTGCTTTCTCCGTCTCTCCTACCCTAGTAGGTCCAGACTGATCCCAAAGCTGCCCTCGGATACAGGGACCCCTTCCCATATCTTAAAGACTACAAATGTTCTCCGATCGATTCCGTTCGGGAGCCTGGGTATAGTAATTTGGAGATCTTCCCTTCAACTTTTGCTTCTACTTTATGATGCCCTAAGACTTCATCTACAAGCTCCCCTTCCGGCTATGAGACCAGAGCATCGAACTCTCCCGGCCGCTGCGTCAGGGAGAACAAGATTACTTAACCTTAGTTGTCTCACTTCTTAAATGCCCAGGATCCCAGTTCTAAATTTCGCAGCTCCCAAACTCCTGGCACCATTTTTAGAACACTAGGGCCCCGAATTCAACCTGTCCGGGAGACCCTCATTGCCCTAATTCTCAAACGTCTTGGCAACAAAGTTCCTGCTCTCAGTTTTCTCGTTTCTTCTAATACCCCGTGTTCCAGGTTCAAACTCCCTCCACTTGAAGCTCCCGCCCCAACAACTTCGCCTCTCGTCCCAGATCTCGAACTCACTCCCTTGTCTTCAGACCTCCTAAACCTTATCAAGCACCTTTATTCTGCGCCCCTGCGTCCACCCAGACCCCGCTACCCCAACTCCTGGGTTGCGTTTCCATTTCCCAGACCCACAGCAGATCTCAAATCAAGCAGACATCCCTCACCTCAGCTGCCAGGTTGCGCAGCGACCACCAACCAGAACGTCTGCAGATTTTGGACCCACCAGTGTTAGACTGGGGCCTCGCTCACCTCCCCGGGGCCTCTCCGTCTGGCCTCCGGCCCACCAAACTCCGCCCCGCGAGCCACGATAGGCTGGAGACTTGCCCGCCGCGGGGCACCGATTGGCTGGGCGGAGCCACCATCCCGTAGCCTGGTGACAACCCGCCACGCCTTCTCCTCCTTAGCACTCCGCACCATTTAAAGGATTCCGACGCGCTAGGGGGCGGGGCCACGCCTCCAGAGTGGAGAGTGACATGGCTATTAAAACCACTTTCTATAACTTCTGGCTCCAAGATCATCAGCATTCCTCGCTGAGGTCCCTTTATGTCACGCTTGGACCCCGTCGCGGAGAAAGCCGGCTGGCCGTCACCCTGTCCGCTTTCCAGGAAGGCGGACTGAGCAACTTGCCGAGGCCTCCAGTTCCGGGGTTCCTAGGAGTAGCGACAGCGAGCTGGGAGGATAATACGAGTGGGCTAGCCAATAGGCTGACGCGGCTTGTGTTGCCTGGGCGCTCGAAGTCCCGCCCTCTCCTTGTCGTTAACTTTTCCGCCCCCCTTACTTTACCCGGTGTCCACCTTCTTAATCTTTAACTTCTCAACACGACATGCGAACTTCCCTCCTGGATCTTCGTATCGCCCCATCCTTTCTTAGAATGGTTTCTTCGCTGCTGAAAACGTACATGGTTTCCTAGTACCCTGGGGATAAAGTTCAAATTCTTTACTTTTGCCGCAAATCCCTTTGCTGTCTGACCTGAGGTACTCTCCTACTGTAAAATTCTGTCAATTTCAGATTTTTCTAAAATGGCCTTAAGTATTTTCCCGGAACACAAACACTTTTCTCCGCTTTTCCCCACTGCCTATAAAAATGCCAGTTACATTGAAAGTACTCAAAACTTAGAATGAAGTTCTTCTGGATCTTTAAACTGATTTTCTTATTCTGAAACCCCGACGCCAACGTGGAGTCCACTCCGACTCACAGCGATTTTATATGACAAAGTAGGACTTCCCCATAGAATTTCCAAGTCTGTAATCTTTAGGGAAGCCAGCTGCCACCTTTTTCTCTCGCTGCGCTGTTAGCAGCCAAGCAGTAGCGCTGGAAATCACTGCCACCAGGGCTCCTCTTCATTCATATGCTTTCAATTCTCAGACTGACTTTTTTACTCATCTCAAAGATCCTCTCCTTTCGGAAACCCTTCCTGACACTCCAGATTGGGTTAGGACCTATTTTGGGATTTCAGGGCTCCCCGATCCTGACTCTTTTGCCTGTGCCTCCTCCCTCCTGGCTCTGACCCGTCTGGGCTCTCTTGTCTAGACTGAGTTTCTTCTTAAGTACCCGGGTTATCTCAGTTACCGCCCGCTCCCCAGCAAAGGACTGGACACAGCTTTCTGTTCAAAAGTGTGTTAAATGCTCATTGTGACAGAAGGAGGAATCAAGAGAAGACACAGAGCTAAAACAGCGATGGTGCTCTGAAAAACTGAACTAGTGAGGCCCCACCCTCTAGACTAGACTTCAAAGCACGCGGGTGGGGGTGGGGGTGGGGGTGGGAGGTGAGGGCGGGGGCAGTTTTATCCAGTCAGCCCCTGGGAAGGGAGGCTTAAGGCTCATCGGACCAGTTCTCACCGGTTGGAATTTGTCTAGCAAGCCAACCTGCTGTCAGCATAAACCTTATAGGACTGGAATTGATTTTTCAGGGGTTAGAAGGGGCTGTGGGCTGGAGATGGGGAGAACCAGTGGCTCAGCCTGGCCTGGGAAAGATGTCCCCAGGGGACAGTAGATTTCAGGGAGGAACATAGTTAGGAGGGGTGTGTGTGTGTGATCCTTCGTCTTCTTCCTTCCAAAGTTGTCCCTCCAAGATGGCCTGTCCCCAGGTGGCAGCTGTGAGCGTCTTCCGTGATATCTCCCTCCCCTCCCCCTACAACCTGCTCATTCAAGCTCCTTCCAGCTGTCTTTTCCTCCCCTCCCCGCAGTCCCAGCCTTGGTGTAGCCCCATCCTCCCCTAAAGCTCCCAGCCTCCAGTTCCCCCCGACCCCCCACCCCAAGGAGCTCTGGTGTGGCGCTGTGGGTTAATGCACCAGATTGCAAAGTCCTTTGAACTGCAAGATTGGCGGTTCAAACTCACCAGGTGCTCTTCGGAAACCCTATACAGGGTCGCGCTCGCAATGGGTCAGAGTCAACTCAACAACAAGGAGCTCTGGTAGAGTAGTGGTTACGAATTGGGCTGCTATCCTTAAGGTAAGAGTTCGAAACTACCAGCTATTCCGCGGGAGAAAGATGAGGCTTTCTGCTCCCATAAAGATTTACAGCCTCGGAAACCCTGAACAAGGTCACTATGCGTCGGAACCGACTCCATGGCACATAACAACAACAACCGCTGTGGTTAGGAGTCCTGTGGGCTAATGCATCAGATTGCAAAACCGTTTGAACTGCAAGGTCAGTGGTTCAAGCTCACCAGCTGCTCCTTGGGAACCCTATACAGGGTCGCTGTGGGTGGGAATTGACTCCACGGCACTTGTGGCACTATAGGATAAGTAAGCACTGCTTACATAAATTAGCAGTTCAAATCCACCAGCTGCTGTATAAAACAGGTGGCTTTAAGTTGGAATGGTACTTAAATTAACAATCCACCTCCAAAGAAGCCCTAGTGACTTTGTAGGATAAGTTAACTGGACCTACCAGAAAGACAAAGCTTTCAGCTCTGGGTAACCCCAATAGGGAGTATTGGTGTGGAGTTGTGGGATAAGCACAGGGTGGCAAGGTCAGTTTGAATCACAAGGTTGACGGTTCAAAGTCACCAGCCGCTCCTCGCAAACCCTATACAGGATCACTATGAGCAGGGAATCCTCTTAACCAGTGGAAGCATTCTAAAACAAACTATGCCTCCGCCCCTCGCTTCTTGCCTAAAAACTCCGATTAAAGCTCAATTTTTTGTTTTACAACGATACTGCACAATTTAACCTTCATGGACCAGCCTCCTTGAGATTGGCCACTTCACTCCTCAGAGTAGAAATATTGACCATAAACCCGTTGCCATGGAGTGGATACCAACTCAAAGCAACCCTACAGGACAGATTAGAACAGTCACATAGGGTTTCCAAGGCTGATAAGCACTGGGATTCCAACAACTCAGCTGGCGGTTCGAGCCCACAGGCTGCTCCATGGGAGAAAGATGAGACTTTCTACTACTGCAAAGATTTACAGTCATGCCCTATAACAAGGTTGCTGAGACTCAAAACTGACTCCATGGCACTTAACAATCTTTAAAAAATCTACCTGCTGGTGGGTTAGACCTTTCTGTTAGCAGCTGAACACAACCAGGCACCAATAGGGGCTCCTTGTATTAACTATTGTTAAGTGCTGTCATTGAGTAGGCTCTGACTCATAGCGACCCTGTATAGGGTTCTGATGAGCGGCTGGTGGATTTGAACTGCCCACCTTGCAGTTAGCAATTCAATGCTTATTCTATAGCACACCAGCACTTCTTATAGCAACTGTTGTCAACATCTGTCAAGTCAGTTCCAACTCATAGTGATGTTAGATAGGGTTTCTGAGGAGCTGCTGTTGAGTTTGAACTACCAACCTTTCTGGTCAAACCGACCTTGCGGTCAAGTACCTATCTTAAAGCACCACACCAGACTACTATCAACTATAGGTTGCTTATGTGCTATGGAGTCGGTTCTGACTCACAGCAACCCTGTACAGGGTTTCCGAGGCGGTAAATCTTGATGGGAGCAGAAAAGCCTCATCTTTCTCCCACGGAACAGCTGGTAGTTTTGAACTAAAGACCTTGCGGTTCGCAGCCCAATTTGTAACCACTACGCTACCAGAGCTCCTTCCTATTAACTATAGAGGCCAGATTTTAGTTCTTCCAACAGAGCCATGTGTTTTCCAACCTTCTGGTCTTTGTTCCAGGTGAATGATGAGGCTATCTGGTTCTATAAAGATTAAAGCTTCCATATCCCTAAGGAACAAGGGATGCTATGAGTTGCAATCGACTCCAAGGCAGTGGGTTTAGTCTTTGCTCCCTCAACCCACTGTGCTGCACCCCCAATAGCTCCCTGTCTATTCTGGCTCTGGAGAGTTTTCTCCTCCACTGGTCTGTGAGAGCCAGCAAAAGGCTCACTGATATCTTCCTTAGGAATGGGTCAGAGCACAATAAAAACACAAAAAAACCCAAAATCAGTTGCCATGGAGTGGATTCTGACTCAAGGCAATCCCATGTCTGTCAGAAGAGAAATGTGCTTCACTGGGTTTTCAGTGGTTGATTTCCCAGAAGCTGACCACCAGGTTTTTCTTCCAAGGTGCCTTTGGGTTTACTGGAACCATCAAACTTTCAGTGAACAGCTGAGCATTTCACTATTGGAACCATTCAGTGAATCAGACACGGAATGGGGACTCGAAAAATTTGATGAGCGAATGAATACCCAGAAAACCGAACCCAGAGTCAGAATGAAACACTTAGGAGCTTCCCCAGACAAAGCCAGAGAAAGGAAAAGCCACAGACCCAGGTCCTCTAGAATAATTGGAAGCTCTTGACTCAAGATTTATTGCTCCTGGACTCTCGGGCTCTTTCCTTTGTTCCCTATTTTCCTGGATGAGGTGAGACCCCTAGTCGTATTGGTGGGAGGGATAGGTGCTGTGGCCATCATACTTGTCGGTGGTGAGACAGCTCAGCATGAAGTGGCCCAGGTCATGTTTGGAGATGACTCTAGAGGGGCCGCGTCCATCCAAGGACACTGAGTAGGCCCCAGTCAGTGGCTGGTCCCCTGTGAGGGAAAAACAGAGGGGCCAGGTAAAAAGTACATTCTTTCCACCTTCCTTAAAGCATGATTACCCTCATGACCCTCCCAGAGGGCCAACTGTGTGCTCAGCTCATTTGACATAACATCCAAAAATATGAAACCTTTCCCATTATGCAACTTGTATGAGTCCTTTACTTCATTCATTTAACAAGTCCTTGTTGATGACCTCAGGTGCTGGGCATATAGCAAGGGGCAACACAGTCAAGAATCCTTACCCCCAGGAAGCCGACATTCATCAGGGAAAGGCAACTAATAAGATATAAAGAATGGACATTTTCCTGACCTTGGTTGGGTACAAGGAGTTGATATTTCTAGAGTCTTGGAGTACCCTGGGTCTCTCTTAAATCCTGGCGATAGCAGGACAGGCATGGCTGACTGTGGACGGGACATCTAGTGACTGTATTATGACAATGAAACATAACTACTGGAAAATGCTCCTTTACCCTGGGGAGATGTGACAGTGACCAACTGAACATGGGGCTCAAACTCAGCAACACTCGTAGATGGACAAGCTGGACACACAGGTGATAACAAATGCGCACCCTCCGCTAGTTAGGAAAGAAAGAGGCATGGAAGTAAGAAAAACAGATGGAAGTGGATGAGGGATGCTAAATTGAGGGGCTTGTAGTCAATAAGATGAAACAAAATATGTATGAATTGGTGCGCTGAAAATGGAAGATCTAGAAACCTTCACCCAATTCACAATTAAAAAAAACCCAAAAAACAAGTTTAACGAAGAATCTGCAAAACACCTTACAACACGGATGAACCTGGAAGGCATTTAGGGAAATTCGTTCATCACAAATGGACAACTAGTTCTGTAAAATGTTAAGAAAAGATTTTTTTTTGCTAAATGAAACATTCAATGATGGTAGCGTAGTGGTTACGAATTGGGCTGCGAACCTTAAGGTCAGCGGTTCGAAACTACCAGCTGCTCCGCGGGAGAAAGATGAGGCTTTCTACTCCCGTAAAGATTTACACCCTCGGAAACCCTATACAGGGTCGCTATGGGTCGGAACCGACTCGAAGGCACATAACAACAACAAATGATGGTTACAGAGCAGGTTGATGATAGGAGGGAAGGGAAAAAATACAGTGACTAGAGGTAAATACTGTGAACTGATGGTATATGGAGGGGATTGCAATCATTGTAATGATACAAAGTGTATAATTTGATGAATGTCGGACTGATCATCTGTTCTATAAGTAAGCCTTCACTCAATTCACAGTAAAAAGTTAAAAAAAGTTTAATTTGAATCTAACTGTGTGAAAATAAGAAACATTTCTACTATCTTTCCATTTTACTTTTCCACGAATTTTTTTAAAGCTCCCGTGCATGTATACAGTATATAAGACAGAAAACAGGGCAAATGTTAACAAATGAACCTAGACAAAAGGTTTATGGGTATTATTAATTTAATGATACATGTTAAAGTCCTAAAGCTCTAGTACCTGTGAAAAACACTTTATTTGGAAATAGGGTCTCTGAAGATGTTATCAATTAAAATAACATGCGGTCTTATCAGTTATTATTGTTAAGTGCCATCAAGTCAAGTCAGTTCTGATTCATAGCGACCCAGTATAGGGTTTCCAAGGAGCAGCTGGTGGGTTTGAACCACTGACTTTGTGGTTAGCAGACTAATGCTTATTCTACAGCACCACAGCAGGAGTCTGTGGTCATGGCAGAGTGGACTCTAATCCTTTAGGAGTTGTGTCTTTATAAAATGAGACAGAGCCAAAATGGCCATATGAAGATGGAGTGATGCAGATAGAAGTAAAGGATTGACCAGGATCATCAGTCATACCAGAAGCTCAGAAAGAGGTATGAAAAGAGTCCCCAAAAGGGATCATCAATATAGCAGGCACCCAGGTTTTAGGCTCCCAGAACTGTGAGACAATACGTTTCTGTTCTTATAAGCCACCAAGTTCACGGTATTTGGTTACACCAGTCCTAGGAAATGAATGCAATGGATATTCATAAGCCTTTCGTATCTTCAAATTTTCTGGAGGTTTGAAACTTCACAAAACTTAAAACATATTGTTGTTGTTAAGTACTGTGGAGTCGGTTCCGACAGTTCCGACGCATAGCGACCCTGTACAGGGTTTCCGAGGCTGTAAATCTTTACGGGAGCAGAAAGCCTCATCTTTCTCCTGCGGAACCTTGAGGTTAGCAGCCCGACTCGTAACCACTACGCTACCAGATTTTTGTTGTTGTTGTTAAGTGTCGTCGAGTCGGTTCCGACCCATAGTGACCCTATATAGGGTTTCCGAGGCTATAAATCTTTATGGGAACAGAAAGCCTCATATTTCTCCTGCAGAGCAGCTGGTAGTTTCGAACTGCTGACATTAAGGTTCACAGCATGATTTGACACCACTAAGCTACCAGAGCTCCTTTGATTAAAGAGGAAGAAACTGAGGCTCAGAAACGTGAGATCAACAACCTGAAGCGAATCCAACTAACACAGCACTTAGGATTCTGGACCAAATGGGACCTTAACACAGCCCCTACATTTGAACCTAAACACTGAAGTTTATTCAAACCCCTAAAGTGCAGGCTTCCTCTAGTCAGGGGTCCCACATGGCAGAGAAAAAAGTAGAATGACTCTTCCAGTAAGCAGGCAAATACAGAGGAGATACAAGTCCCCTGCCTCAGGGCCTTTGCACTGCTGTTCTCTGCCTAGTCATCCCTTGCTTCTGATAGTCATCTGACTCGCTCCCCATCATTTCTCTTACCATGCTTTGTTTCACTTGACTTATCACTGCTGTTGTTAAGCGCCGTCGTCAGTTGATTCCGACTCATGTAGGGTTTCTGAGGGGAGGCTGGTAGGTTTGAACCACCAGTCTTGCAGTTAGCAACCCAGTGCTTATTCTATAGCACCATCCCAGGACTCCTAACATAAATACTACACATCCCTTGTCTGTCTGTCTTCCCCATGAGAACTATAAGCCTCATGACAGCAGGGACCGTATCATCAGTGAAACTTTGAAGAGCTGGAACTCGACAAGAATGCCGATTTTTCCAGGTCTGCGAAGTCTTCTGCCTTTAACATGGATGGTGCCATTGTTAAGCACCTTTCTGACATTCTCCCCTGAGTGGAAAATATTTTAATTTTCTTTCTTTGACAGGTTTCTGCCTTGCCTAGGTTCCAGCTCTCACAGGTTTTTACAGTAATGGTTGACTAAACCAGGGAGTTCACATACAAGAAACATTCATTGAGTGATAGAATCTCTCCCTGGGTCTGCCTCTTGTCTTGGTCTTTTTCACTATTGATTCCAGACTTGAGGCATAGGGGAATGGGAGTCCACGTAGAGTTGGCTGTTGTTCTTAAGTGCTGTCGTGTCTGTTACATCTCATAGTGAGCTGGTATAGGGTTTCAGATGAGCAGCTGGTGGGTTTGAACCACTGACTTTGTGGTCCAGTGCATTTTCCTGCAGAGCCATACCAGGCCTTCATAGAGTTGACTGTTGTTGTGTGCCATGGAGTCAGTTCTGACTCATAGCGACCCTGTACAGGGTTTCCGAGGCCGTAAATCTTTACGAGAGCAGAAAGCCTCACCTTTCTCCCGCGGAATAGCTGGTAATTTCGAACTGCTGACCTTGCGGTTCACAGCCCGATTCATAACCACTACGCTACCAGAGCTCCTTACAGAGCTGACTGATTACCTCTAAAACACTTTTACAAGGTGTAGTTCACCAGTTCATCTCACAAATGTGCATTGAGCACCTACGACAGCCCTTGGAACCTGCTTCTAATAAACAGAATGCAGAGGAAACAGCACAGAGTGGAGTTTGAAACAAAATCATGAAAGATTATGCAGCTTCTACATGATTCTCTCTGAGGATTCTTGCCCTTGGAACCCACCCGCCATTGTGTGAGGAAATCCAACCAACCACCAGACAGATGTTAATGAGGAACCCTTCAAGGTGACTCCATTCCCAGCTACCTTCAGTGACCTCAAGAGGGATTTCAAGCCAGAACTAACCCCAGGTTGAGTCGCATTAGCCATTCGAACAGAGAGAAGGAATCATCACATTAGAATGGTGGTTTGTTTCTGTTTGGGGTTGGTTTGTTAAGCAGAGACAACTGGGTCATATCTTAGAAAGTAAGGAAAGAAGTCAGTAAGTGTTGGGGGTAGGTTTGTAGTTTTAGGGTGATCAGGGAAGGCCCTGAGGGTCTCCTCAGAAAGCAGGAGAGAGCAGGCTGGTGGCAACAGGGCCTCTGGGTCCCCACCCCACTCACCTATATGGGGTGGCATCACAGCAACATACTTCAGGCCTGATTCTTGCAACACCTTGTGCATCCGAATGTGGTCATTGGTCACGTCCTGCAGTCTTGGCGGCACCTTGGCTGGATCCCATAGCAGAAAGGCTGAGGGGAGCAGGGCAGGGTCAGTCATAGTTTGAGGGCAGCTTGGCTGGACCTACAACTCCCTAGTATCTTTCCCTGGCTGGGGCCAGGACAAAAGTACCACACAGTAGTTCTGCAACCCTGTGGCCTTCCAGGGACTCAGGGCAAGAATGTGGGAGTCTTCCCAGCCTCTTCTAGTACTAATTCCAAACCTGATCACTTCTTACTCTACTCAGTCCCATCCACTGTTACCGCAACAGTCTCATCCCAGGCCTCCTGTCCTCCTCCTACCCACTGGCTCCGACACATATGGCCAAAGGGACCCTGTGAACAGCTGAGTCAGAACACTTCCTTGGGTTCCAGATCACTCAGGAGAAAAGCAGTGCTCCCACCATGGCCTCCTTAGCCTTCTGACATCCCCTTCACTTGCCCAGCTCTGACTTCAGTTTTGCAAAGGCAAACCCTCTACCGACAGTGTTGGCTCCTCTCAGCCACTGACCTCTGTCTCCCCCTCTGCAAATTTTGCTTCAAGCTTGCCTTTCAGTAAGGCCCTGCCTTACCATGCTATTTGAAATCACATATTCTGACCTAGCCAAATCCCCTTTAGGAGTCTTGGTGGTGGTGCAGTAGGTTAAGAGTTGTGCTAATTGCAAGGTCAGTGGTTCCAGCCCACCAGCTGCTCCTGTAAAGACTTATTAGGGTCAGAAACCCTATGAAACTCCTAACATAAATACTACACATCTCTTATCTGTCTCCCCCATGAGAACTGTCAGCCTCATGAGACCAGGGACTAGATCATCCGTGAAGCTTGTGAGAGCTGGGACTCCATAGGATTGTCTCGTTTTTCCCAGTCTGGAAAGTTTTCTGCCTTTGACTTGGTGTTGTAGTAGGTACATTTTAGCTCTGTTTGGCCCTATGGGGTTGTTGAGTCAGTGGAATTATTTTGCTCTAGCACTCATATACTGAAACAAACAAAACACCAAGCCAGAGGCCCTCAAGTTGACTTTCCAACTCATGGACCTTAGGTGTCAGAATAGAACTAGGTAGTGCAAACAGTTCAGATGCTCAGCTGCCAACTCAAAGGCTAGCAGTTTGCATGCACCCAGAGGCTTCTGGGAGGAAGGTCCTATCATCTACTTCAGAAAAATCAGTTACCAGTTTTACTCAAACACTCATGGGGTGACCATGAATCTGAGCCGGTCTGATTGTTTTGCTAAATCCTGACAACAACCCCAAGAGGTAGGGAGCAGGATTCCCTTGACAGAGAAGGAAACAGGATCAGAGACTCATGTGGTAGGCCAAAGTCACACAGCAAGTGTCTCAGGATTCCACTTCCCTGAACTCTTAATTCAGCAATGTCAGCAGTTTGCTATCTTGGATCCAGTCTGTATCTTGGCCTGGGTATCTTTCTAATCCTTTCAGGATCCTCCTTAAAAACAACTCCCCTACCCCCAAACCAGCTTCCCAGGCTCTCAAGATAAACTCTAAGTTCCTTAGGTAACAGGATCTTTCTAATCCCTTCCCTTGAAATTTGAATATGGAGGAAATATTACGCTCTAATATAATTCATTACAGGGTGGCAAGGAATTAGTGTTAATTTTCTCAGGTGTGATCATTATATTGTATTTTAAGGGGAGAAAATTCTTTTTTCCGAAAACAAAAAACCAAACTCATAGTCATGGAGTGGATTCTGACTCATAGTGTCCTGTAGGACAGAGCTGAGCCATAGGGTTTCCTAAGAAGGTGGTGGTGCAGTGGGTTAAGAGTTGTGCTGCTCACGAAGAGGACTCTAAACTCATGGAAAGAGAGAGGAAGCAGGCTTGCAGAATGTGCCCTTTGGTTGTTTAAATGATTATATATTTCTGAGTGTTTTTGTGTACATACCCCCAAAACAAAACAAAACAAAAACAGACGGAATAGAAGGAAATACTGTTGAACGATGATGCATAGAGGAGATTGTAATCTTACAATGGAATGATGAGTGTAAAATCGATGTTCTCCCATGTAAACAATCACTCAATTCAAAATAAAAACTTAAACAAATAAAAAACCAATAGTAGAAGATGTGTAACTAAAGGGGGAGAAGTTAATCTTTCATTTCAGGAATTGACAATCCCAGGACCAGCAGGAAGGAAGAGCATGAGTGGAACGTGGGATCCAGGCCTGAAAAAGCAGTGATATCAGAGACAACAGCAGAGGTGGTCCTCTGGAAAGACAAAGAAGCCAGAGACTCTAGGCCCAAGAACTGAGGGTGGCTGTGTACCTACAGTTAGGAGGCTGGCTTGCAGAATGTGCGCTTTGGATATTTAAGTGAATACATACTTTTGTTTCATTTTGTATGTGTGCATCAAATATTTTTGCTTTGTTCATTTGTGACATAAAAAGATGTTAAGTGGAGCCAGTGTGTTTTCAGTTGTATGTGCTTTAGTTATATCATATTAGGTGTAAGTATGGCTTGACATTTTTCTTTATACAGCGATTATTCATATAGTTTATAGGTGTCGTGTTGACAAGGGTGAACTATAATAGTTTTGTGTCAACTTGAACTTGACTACGCTGTAGGATTCCCATGGTTTAGCAGTTAAGATGTACTTATTCTCATGGTGATGAAACCTAATAGAGGCTTGGTCACCACTATGTCCCCAGCAAAGTTCAAGCACACAGTTGGTGCTTAATAAATGCTCAGTAACTTAGAATGGCAGCAATGCTACCTTTCAGAGGCCCCCAGGCTACAGAACTTGGCCTGTTCGGTACCCACACACCCCCAGCTTAGTAATATCCAGTGATCCCGCCACCCACCCGAGGTGCAGGCCACGACCTTTTCCACACCATGAGCCTTCATGGCCGCCACGATGTTCTGGGCGCCCTCGGACATCACTGTGGTGGGACCTTAGAGAGGACAGAGAATGGCTGTCACTCACGGGAGGTGGAGGCGGCTGGGGTGGCAGGGGCGGGGCTGGGGGCGGGGCTGGTGCTGGAGGTCGGGGTGCAGGGGGAGGCCGTGGACAGAGGGGGGGCTCAGTACTAAGGTCATTGCCAGTGCCCAACAGCACGACAATGGCGTCCTGCCCAGCCACGGTCTTGTCCACATCGGCAGCTTTCCGAACATCGCCCACGATGACATGGGCGGGCTGGGGTCCTTCAGAGGGCAGCCTGGAGGCATTCCGCACCAGCACGGTCACTTCATAACCTGCGGGGAGGAGAAGGGCAGAGAGGCAGGTCAGTGGGCGTAGGGGATGGAACTCTGGGGCTCCAGAGGCAGGGTCCCAGTTCTAAGGCAGTGGTCTTCAGACATTTGGCTGCTACACTAACAGTTGCTTTTGTGGGTTAATGAGCTGGAATGCAAGGTCGGTGGTTCAAGCTCACCAGCCACTCTTCGGAAACCCTATACAGGTTCAAATATGAGTTGGAACCAACTGGAAAACACTTAACAACAATATTAACATATAGGAGTCCTGGTGTAGCATTGTAGGATAAATACTACACCAAAAGGTCGCCCGTTCAAACTCACCACCCACTCCTATAACAAGGTGATTATATAAAGAGCTCTGGTAGCATAGTGGCTATGAATCAGGCTGCTAATCTCACCACCAGCAGTTCGAAACTGACAGTGGTTCCCCGGGTGAAAAATGAGGCTTTCTGTTCTGTAAAAGTTTACAGCCCTGGAAACCCTATACAGGGTCATGATGAGACGGACTCCATAGCATATAACCACCATGAGTCAGAACCAACTGACATGCTCGCACTTAACAACAACAAAGACATTAACTTACAGTAACACCTTCATGCTGGCGGCAACAGTCTGCCCTAGGGCCTCTGAGTGTTCACACAGCTTCCCCAGACTTCCCACTAGCCAGCAACCAAAGGGTTAAAACCTGGCCCTAAACAGGTCTAGGTAGCTCCCAGTATAGTAGGTCGGATTGTGTCCCTTCCCTTAGAAAAAGTTGAGGTTTCAACGTCCAGTACCTGTGAATGTGACCTTATTTGGAAATTGAGTCTTTGCAGATGTCATTAGTTAACAGGAGGTCATACTCCAGTGAGGTGGGCCGGAAACCAGTATGAGTGTGTTGTTGTTAAGTGTTGTTGAGCTGGTTCCAACTCATAGCGACCCTGCATAGGATTTCCGAGGAGTGACTGGTGAGCTTGAACCGCCAACTTTGCAGTCCACTTCATTAACCCACAGCGCCACACCAGGACTCCTGGTGTGAGTGTATGAGTGTATCTTTATCAAAAGAGAAGACATCTCCAGAGAAGCAGCAACACCAGAGATGGAGGCAGAGATGGGGACATGGAGAGAGGAAGTAGCTGAGGACTCCAGATTCATGGAAAGAAAGGGACTGAGAGCTGGTGGCCAGGAGGCAGACTTGCAGAAATGCCCTTTGGTGGTGTAAATTATTATGTTTGCCTGAGTGTTTAAAAAAAAAAAAAAAAAAAAAAGCTAAAATGAATAGAGAGAAATACTGTTAACTGATGGTACATGGAGGGGATTATAACCATTTCCACGGCACATAACAACAACAACAAAACGAAACAAAGTATATGATTTGTTGAATGTAAATGTAAAACGGATGATCTGCCCTATAAACTTTCACTCAATTCATAATAAAAACTTTAAAAAAAAGGGAGGCACATGGAGGAGAAGAAGGTCATGTGAAGACGCTGGGACAGATGCACATGAAGCCGGTCATGGGAGAGAGAGGCGGAAATCGGAGCGATGCTTCCAGAAGCTGTAAGAAACCACAAAGAGTCCTTCCCTAGAGTTTTTGGGAAGAGTACAGGGTCGCTATGGGTCGGAACCGACTTGATGGCACTTAACAACAACAACAAATGGTCCTGTAGGTGAAGTGTTGGTGTGATGCTGTAGGATAAGCACTAGACTGATAGTCTGCAACAATGGTCCTCTGCACTCCCTGAATTCAGACTTCAAGCCTTCAGAACTATGATAAATAAAGTTCTGCTGTTTAAAACCACCCAGTTTTGGTGAATCCTTCTGGCAGCTCTAGGATACATAGATACTGCACATCTATGGTCCTGGAGGAGTCCAGGTACAGCGCTGTAACGTCAGTTTGAACCGCAAGGTGGGTGGTTCAAACCCACCAGCCATTCTTCGGAAACCCTATACAGGGTTGCTACGGGTCAGAACTGACTTGATGGCACTTAACAACAACAACATGGTCCTGACAGAAATAGGTACAGAGGGGACCATGACTTGCTCAAAGGTTGCCCCTGCAGGACCCGGTCCCACCTTAACCAAAACACCACTGCCAGTGAGTCGATTCTGACTCATAGCGGCCCCATATAGGGTCTCAAGACTGTAAATCTTTATGGGAGCAGGCAACCTCATCTTTGTCTCTTGGAGCTGCTGGTGGTGGGTTAGAGCTGTCAAACTTGTGGTGAGCAGTCCACCTAGTGGTTAACAATGTGTATTCCACAGAGCCGTGATCACTAAAGACTGTGAGTTGTTGTTAAATGCCTTTGAGTAGGTTCTGACGCATAGCAACCCTGTATAGGGTTTCCAAGGAGCGGTTGGTGAGCTTGAACTGCTGACCCTGTGGTTCCAACTGACTTTGCAGTCCAGTGCATTAACCCACAGTGCCACACCAGGACTTTTGAGTATCTCCTTGGTATGTCCACTCCCCAAATAATTTTGGATAATTCTGTGCCCACCTCCCACTGGGGCAGTGACACACGTTTTCAAGTTGAAAACGAACCTATTTCTTCCTTTGTTTTAAACAGTAGTCAAAGATGTTAATATTTGGGTATAAATAAAAATATGGAAAAATCAAAGCATTAACATTATATCATAAGTATAACAATGGCAATATAACAACATAATAGTATTAATAATATCTCATTATAAGTATCAAAAACCATTTCATTGAGTCGATTCTGCAAATCTTTACAGCAGTTGTTGTGCCATTGAGGCAGTTCATAGCGACCCTGTAGAGGGTTTCCGAGGAGCAGCTGGTGGGTTTAAGAAAGCCTCGTAGTAATCCCTCACAGCAGCTTGTAGGTTTGAACTGTCGACCTTGTGGTTAACAGTCCAGTGCTGATTCTACAGCACCGGCAAGGCTTCTGATTCTAAGTATAAGTCTCTAAAATGAACCAGAAATCCTTTAAGACATGGCTAGTTCTTGGTAGCGTAGTGGTTACGAATCGGGCTGTGACCCTAAAGGTCAGCAGTTCGAAACTACCAGCCGCTCCGCGGGAGAAAAAGGAGGCTTTCTGCTCCTGTAAAGATTTATAGCCTCGGAAACCCTGTACAGGGTCGCTATGGGTCAGAACCGACTCGACGGCACTTAACAACAACAACAGTTCTTGGGCTGGGACTGGACGAGAAGAGCCTAAAATATCATGGCGCGTCAACAAGTCAGCCAGGACTTAATGAATGGTGGTGCTGAATTGAAGAGACTGCACAAATAGTACAATATAAACTGAGCTGCCAACAGCAAGGTCAGTAGTTCAAATCTACCAGCCACTCTGAGGGAGAAAGATGAGGCTTTCTGCTTCCATGAAGATTTACAGCCTTGGAAACCCTGTTTAGGGTTATGAGTTGGAACTGACTTGATGGCACACAATCACCACCACCATCCCAAAGAATTCTGATGGCAATGGGTTGAAACAACATCAAAGAAATAAAAATCTGTGAGCTGATAAGCTGATAATTATACTACAAACAGAAATTCTCATGGATCATCCATGGCAATAATTAGAGGAGAATGATTAAGGAAAAGGAAAAAGACTAATATTGTGTTTTGTTTCACATCTACCAGACAGTTGACATTCCAGAAAATGTTGGACCCAAATGTAAATAATAAAAGTATAAAATGCCTATAAGAAAACATAGACATAAATCTTTTGTGACCTTAGATTAGGCAATGGTTTCTTAAATATGATAGCCATAGAAAAAAATAGATAAATTGGGCATCATCAAAATGTAAAACTTTTGTTCTTTGAAAGACAAACCCCCAAAACAGGAGAAAAAATTTGCAAGTCATATATCTGATAAGAGAATTGCTTGTAGAATATATAAAAACAAATCCTACAATTCAATAATAAAGACAAAATAACCCAATTAAAAACTGGACAAGAAATCTGAATAGCTATTTCTCCAAAGAGGATTAAACAAATAAATAACCAGCCAATAAGACTTGCAGAACGTGCCCTTTGGAGATGTAAATGATTATATATGCCTGAATGGGTTTTTTTGTTTGTGTGTTTTTTTAAAAAAGCTAAAGTGGATAGAGACAAATACTTTTTTTTTTTTTTTAATTAAATGTTTTTATTTTGCATTGAGTGAAAGTTTACAGGGCACATCATCAGCTTCACATTCAACCATTCATATAGCTAGTTTCATTACATTGATTATTATCCCCGCCATATATCATCAGTTTACAGTGTTTCTCTCTATCCTCTTTAGCTTTTTTTTTTTTTTTTTTTTGGATGGGGAGGGACTTGGCTTATTGGAATTTACAGTCTCGGCTTTTAGGGAAGGTTTTTACATTTGTCTGTGGATATCCAGGGCTCATGTATGAGATTACTAACAAGCATTACTGAATAATCAGATGAGGGACAGTTTGCTATGTCTACTAGGTGGCTAGAGTCTGATCCTCAGAGCCTATGGTTTGGACGGTCAACAACGCTTGGGCCCACAGGGGCTTGGCCTCCTGACCGGGTCTGTGCTGTCTGCATCTGAGTCCTCCTTATTTATTGATTGTTTAAGGGATGCTGACTGTCTTAGGTGGTCAGTGCGTAGAGAGAAATACTTTTAACTGATGGTATATGGAGGGGATTATAATCAATGTAATGAAACAAGTTATATGAATGGTTGAATGTGAAACTGATGATGTGCCCTGTAAACTTTCACTTAATCCACAATAAAAACGTTAAATTAAATAAATAAATAAATAAATAAACAAGCATATGAAAAGATGTTCAACATCCTTAGCCATTAGTGAATTGCAAATCAGAACCACAATGAGAGACAACTAGAGCTTGATTTGGTTCCGACTCAGCAAGAGCAACCTCTCTGACAGTAGAACTATCCCATCGGCTTTCGTGACTGTAATCTTTATGGGTGCATATTGCCAGCTCTTTTCTCCCAAGGAGCAGCTGCTGATTTCAAACTGCTGACCATTGTACCACCTGGGCTCCTTTTACACACACTAGAATGGCTATGAAGTCCTGGTG